GTTTCGCTAAGCCTGGCGAGTCTTTGGTGGTCGCTTGGTCGGCGGGACCATTGTTGTAGCTTTTTCAGGTATTCGTGGTTCTAGGGTTTGTCTCCGCTGCGGCGTCCAGTTTGAAGTAGTACTTTTTTTTTCTTGTTGGGACGCGCACAGCGAGCACATAGAAATGCACGTTGGTCGTCGCGACTAGCGATGTTGCCGGCAATGTAGATTTGATCATAAAAAGTGCGTAAAGCTTTGTAGCTGTCGTCGTGGTCGTAGGATTTCATCGTAGCCTACGAAAAACTTGCGATAATTTCGCTCCGTGAATACGGATCTCTTCTTAGGTTTTGCTGTAAGATCGTTTCGTAAATAAGCTCTGTTACCTGTTGCGGACGGCGAAGACAAGGCAGATGGGTCGTACAAATACGACTCTAGGCCGAATCGCTTCTTGGCCATTATGGCCACTGGTGATGTAGCGGTGTGGCGGCGTCTTCGTCCTTATCAATGTCATCATTCCCACCGCTCTCGTCGCGTTGGTCGGCGACCGTTCAGTCGCGGCAGCTCCGCAATATGCTACAGCCCTCAGGTACTCTGACTAAGCGAGATTTGCGAGATTGTAACACGTTGACGCCTCCAAGTATCACGACTCATAACTACGGTACGCTTGGCCCTCCGAGGCATGATGACGTCAAGACTGCGCCGGATCGGCCGGATCTCCCGAGATCAGAGATGGCAAAGTTACTTTAAAAAAGTAATTAGATTACATTACTAATTACTTTCTTAAAAACTGCAAAATGTAATTAAATTACATTACAAATTACCGCAGACTAAAGGTAATGACATTACATTACAATTACTTTCCTAACGTAATTTACTTTGAGACTACTTTTGAATACCTTGAGGTAGTAATTCGTGCTCATATTATTTACCGTATACACCAACATAGTGTTTACAAAACAAGCCCTCGTTTGCCCACACAACGCGTGTGCATGAACCAGATCTGGGAGAAGCATGGCGCGGCGCATGCGCAGTGCCGACAGCAGCGCCACCGCAGTGATGTGGCGTCAAAGAGCTGAGGTGGTCTGTATGTACCAAAACTCACATCTTCCTGTTTATACCGCAACAACCTTATGTGCCTCAAAGTGAACCATACTGAACAGCGGTTTCGCTGGCGCACACGACATCAGTGTTAAACATGATGAATAGCTTCTTTTTTAGATGCGACTCAGAAAGGCAGTCGACTCACCGGTTTCGCTGTTCATTCGACGGTGAAGGTTCTTACTAAAATGGTGATATGTTCCCGTCTTCCTGATTTAAAAGTTGTAGTCCGTGTCAGTTTGTTAAGTCTGGCAATGGCAGCTCGTTCTTAGAAGGAGCCGTCACGTGAAACGTTTCCCTTTCGCCTCCCAGACGCAGTCTAATTCTATTCTCCCAAAAGCACTTACTAAACTCGGCAACAGCTTTTCTCGGCCTTTCCGGGAAGAAGAGGGGATCCCGCGCACAGTTTTATTCGGCTCTCAAAATGGGAGCGGGAACGCGTGCCTCTACCCTCCACCGCATTGCTAAGAAGAGTTGGTGGCGTCGCCAGTTGAGGAATGGCGCCAGCTTCCTAAATTGTGCACTTTCCAAACAAACGGGGGGCGATATATCCTTGTAGGCTTATTCCCGAATAAGCTTCCCAAGGGAAGGCAGTGAGGCATAGCGTGAGCGCAGCTGCTTTGCTCGAGGACGCACGAAAAGCTCTGGGGCTTTGACAAGGCATTTGGAATTCACTATTTATTCCGGTCGTTTGTTGTTCACAATGATCGAAGCTTACGGTTTGACCTTACTTGACAAAAGTACAAGGCTGGGGACCTGTTTTTTGCTGTCTTCTTAGGTGTTAAATTATGTTTAACTCCCTGGTGACGTGCCAATCGCCTTGTAGCCTATGGGCCGTTCATCCCTAAGCTGACGCAAAGTCAGCTTAGGGATGAACGGTGGAAGCTATGTGTTGTTGGAGCGGTCACACGTCTATCGTTCGCCACGTAACCACGCTCTCGTTCATACCCACGCGCAGAGAAAGGGACGGGACAGGTGATTAAAGGAAGGTGTCTGATTGGTTCTGGTTCGCTTGCTGCTCCCACCGCACTGTCTGCTTAGGGATGAACGAAGTAAAGTATCGTCGTGATGACGCGACGCCGTGAATCTGTCGAGCCTGAAGTTCGTAAGCCTTTGCCTTTCAGCGATGTTTACACGTAAGCTTTTTTCCTTCGCTATTCCAGCCCTCCTTTGTGCGCCTGTTCAGCTCTTCGTACGAGGCTTTGCGCTCAGGTGGCCGTTGATTATTTCCTCTGATGCTCTTGCACAAAATTTCACCATGCAAAATCAATTTTCTCTTTTTTAAAGCTTCCAGACGAATTTTCTAATTTAGGACAAAAGTAATTTCTAAAGTAATGAGTAATTTTCTCGAAATTGCTGCCTGAAATTAATTAATTACAATACCAAATTACTAGTCTAGAGAAGTAATTCATTATATTACTCATTACTCTAGAAAGTAATTTATTACTGTAATTTCATTACAGTAATGTCATTACTGCCATCTTTGCCCGAAATGCATCGCGCTCTTCGACGGCTGATTTTGAAGCGCTCGCCAAAATCCAGGCATTTAGAACAGAAAAAATAGCCATCCGCTTAAGATATGATTACGCGATTATCAATTACAGATTTATTTTATCCTGTTCGATTTATCTCTAAATGTTTTCTGCATATTTTAAGTTCCGATTCAGTATCCTTTTAAGGGTGAACGGAGTATAGCGCACACGCGGGGTCAGTCACTGTTGGCGGTAACGCGTTACAAGGGACGGCGTTACCCGTAGCGCGTTATTTTTTGTAACGTAGTAACGTTCTTTTTACAATTATAAAACAGTACCAGGTAACGTACTTACGTTACTTATTTCGGGTAACGGGTAACATAGTAACATTGCCCCTTACGTCTTCCCAAGCCTCTTAAAAAAAAATACGCTGAACAGTTTTTCGCCTTTTTAGGCGCCAAGTCATGTGATTTCTTGCACTCACCCACATACCTTACCTTCAATATCTGAACCGTAGAACAGAGGAGGTAAAAATGCTAAGTTTCGGCATGGATGTGATGCTTCTTGACATAGGGCGCTTATGGATACCTGTCTCGACGAAACAGTAAAACACTTTTATTCAAAAGTAAAACGGAACGTTCGATATTTTTATCGGTAACAATAACGCATTTCTTTTATTTTAAGGCAACGTAGGACGGAAACGCTTTGCTTTTACTTTCAAGTAACAAGTGACGTACTTCGTTTCTTTTTATATTTTCTTTTTTTTGAGCGTCATCAGGTAATAAAGAAAAAAACGAAAAAAAGAACACACAAAGAGTAACTTGGCTAGTGCCGATATACATAATTCTACTTTTGAAGCAAAAACAAATAAATTAAACCGCGTCTTGTGTAAAGGGTGTTCATTTTAATTCAAATACACGTATTTAAAAGCCGTAAAACTAAGGCCCACTAATGTGTGATAATGCAATTAATGCAAAAGTGCAAGCGAGCTGGACAAGGATAGCGATAATACTCTTTCGAGAAGGTGAACAAGGGGGACAAAAAACAAACACCAATCTCCAACCACAGCTAGGTGACTGGTCCGCGACTGAAAATATCCGCCTGGTCCTGGTATCGAACCAGGGACTTCCATATTTCCAGTGGAGCGCTCTATCAACTGAGTTAACCTGGAGTTGGACGTCAGTTGAGCAAACGGGTTTTAGCAACTGCCACCAGTCGAACACCAACAAGGTTGAACGGCCTGCATTTGTTAAGGGTTATGCTGATAATGCAGCTAATAGAACTATTGCAAATGTGCAAGCGAGCTGGACAAGAATAAACGATAATATTCCCTGGATCAATGGGGACAAAGGACAAACGCATTTTTGTGTTCGTCCTTCGTCGTTCTTGTTCCCTTGTCCGAGACGTCATACGTCCCTTTAGTTACACCTAGTCATTTAGAAAAAAAAAGTTTCAAATATGCCGATATACAACACACTGCGTTGCGAAAAGCACCTTGGAAAATAAAAGTGTAGATTCACAAGATGAATGCAAGTGTATGCTAGTGAGTTGACCTGTTTCCACAGTTCAGTATAGATCAAAGGCAATGTTCCGTAATTTTCTTCGCGTACGGTCTATAAAGACAAAAGCAGCGACGATCTTTTGGTAGATCTAATCTAAATTCCCATAATAATCGCACGTGGTGTTAGTCTGGAAGTCTTGCAACTATTTAAATAAAATTGCGCTATGCATCACACTAAACTAGAAAAACTATATCTGTCAAAAACTTGCATGTAGCTTCCAAAATTTTTTTTTCTTTTTTTTCTTTTGATTTTTTTATTTCTTCGTTTTTTTCTTTCTTATTGTTACTATTTTCGAGAATATACACAGTTTGGTTATGCATGGGGATCTTGCTATTTTCTTTACAAATATTTGCTTGCATTGTCTTCCGAACATCGTTACTCTGTTAACCACGTTCGGTCGTGTCTATGACTTCTTCTGTCTTGCTCTCTGTGGTAGAATTGCCTTCTGAATATCTTAATCTGTCGTGTAGGTTCACCTTCGACTTGCGCACCTTGTGCGTTGGTTTACCTGCCAAAAGCGGTCACATGCTTATGTTTCCCTCTAACGTCGACCAATGACGACATGCAATTGAGTGCCACGTTATCGCGCGCTCTCTTAGTTGCTCCAAGTTGTTCTTTCATTGCGTTTTGACTTCCCGAAGACGGATTCTGGGACGCTTGCTCGCCGTACGTATTCTATGTCAGACTCGCGGACTCTGTTCTCCGCTTGTATTTCGTGTTTTGGGTTTCTTTGTTTTAGCGCGCCAGTATAAAGCCCGCAGGTTATTCCTGCATACTATCATGAACACATTGGTGGCTTGATTGATTTCACCAAAATTCCTAGTGCTCGTTTTATTTCTTTATGCTAGCAGAGCTGAATGCGAGCTAAACGGGTGCCCGAACCCTGCAGGCGGCGAAGGAAGCCTGCTGGCGGCGGCCGGGTCAGTGCTAGGCCTGGGCACGGACATCGGCGGCTCCATCCGCATGCCGGCCTTCTTTAATGGCGTGTTCGGCCACAAGCCGTCCCCGGGGCTGGTCAGCAACGGCGGACAGTTCCCACACGTCCAGGGGCACCAGGTCGAGTTCCTGGGCACGGGTCCCCTCTGCAGGTACGCCAGGGACCTAGCACCGGCCCTGGCTGTTCTGGTGGGACCCGAACATGCCCGACAAGTGTTGCGCCTGCACGAGCCGGTACGTGGGCTCCTCTTTGAGAGAACCGTGGTTTGAGAGAGAGAGGGAGGGCGGGTATTATATCTATAGTCTCCTGTAATATGAAAGACCCACTGGGAGCGCGTGGCCTAAACGGTGGCTGGCAGGGGCGCTGCGGGCGCTCCGGGTGATTTCCTTCTACCCCGAGGAGAGCACTCATTCAGGACTCAGCTAAAACACAGCACGCGCTTATCAGTTTCGGTTTCGACAAAGAGAGCAGTTCGTCGGCGTCATAACACGACTATGTCATGCTAACACCGTAATTGCTTCTTTGAGAGAGACGGGTCTGAGCCAAGGCGATTATTCTGACTCTGTTAAACGTGAGATCCGTGCCAACCTTTTCGCCAATGAATGCGCTCTTGAATAAATTGTTCCTCTCAGATATTTACTCCGTTGCACGATAGATTGGTGAACCGTGGAGGCTGCGGCGTCCCTGCACATATTTCAGTTCGTACCCGGCAAGCCAGAAACAAACCCCGCGCAAACAGCAGTAAATTTGGCCTCGACTGTTGACACTACGCCGGAGTAGTGGCGCAAATCAAAATACAAAACATGCGTAGTGCCCTCCGCGTGTATTGTTGTTTCACGGTTGATTCGCTTGATTAAAAAGCGTTTGCGCAGAAAAAAGGAAAACCGCAACACAGATAGTGCTTCAATATACTAAGATGAAAGCGTTGAGTCTCAAAGCACAAGTCCGTTTGTAACGATAACTAGATTTTGTTTTTTTTATCAAATCTACACGTGGCTATATTCGGGACATTTCAGAAAGTGCAAGGAATAGCTAGATTGTACTCGTTCAGTGATATATTATTAAACAAAAAATAGAAAGTAACGACAAAAGTAAAGTAGTTACTTTCATCGTTAGCTGAAAAAAAGTAATAGAATTACAGTTACAAGTTACATTTTTAAAAAAGTAAATCGTTACAGCTACAAGTTACCAAAAAAAAGTTGCAGTAACGCGTTACTACCCAAAACTGCCTGTAGTCCTACTACCATCATTTGCTCAAATGTTTGTGTCATCTCAAACACTGGGTTTCCTTCATGTAAGTGACTGCACACGCAGCCTTTTTTTAATCGTTTTATGCACACTTTGTTAACGTTAGGTTGTATTAGCAACATTTATACCCAGTGATGGTAGTCATATTTCCTGGTTACCATTCTAAAGCGGTGTTCTCATACAAGCATGATTCTTCTTCCACGCACTGTATATAAGATGTATAAAACGATTGTTCCTCATTCTTTACCCGTCCCGTACATTGTATGGGAAGGGAAGGGTAGGTTGTATGGGACTGCTGACTATATAGCTATGGTTATTCACTTTCCGTTAAAGCCGGTTTGTGCTTGAAATATTCACTCGGGACAGCTTAATCAGAATCCAGTATAACCTGACTTGCCGCCAATATTTCCGCCACTGGAGTTTAATTTTAAAACACGTGGACAACACACTAAGTCTCGCCGCACCATCTGATTCATGATGGAAAGCTTTTAGTATATCTAATTATGCAGCAAAGCATCTCTGAGTCAATATCTCTGAAATAGTAATCTTTTTTTTATTTATTTGCATAATCTTGTTGGGCAATTTTATAATGTTTTCCTTCAAAAAATATTTGAATTTCGATGTGAAAACGAAAACCAGAATTTTTGTCACATTTCGGTAAACTTTAAGTTACGTAATTGATAAACCTGAGAAAAAGGATGTGTACGGCAATACACGTTTCAACACTCACAAATACAAAATAACGCATAAGGGGTTACTTAACCCGCAAAGGCATTATAAGGAAACCTGGAAACTTTTTTTTATTACCCCAAATTCGACAAATAAACCGGAAGGCCTTGAACCTGGCTTCGTTAAAAGCAAAACTTAGATCGCGTATTGACGACTTGGTAGGAAATTAAGGGAATTGTTATAAAGTTAGAACGGATTTTACTAAAAGTACTATTAACTTCAGTCTCACTTTTATGGAATCATCGCCGCGACGCAATATTTCAGAACCCCTTCGTGTATAGTCATTACACGCTGACTGCAGCAGGGGGACGATTTAATGGCACTGCATACTGGGACTTTTGAAGTGGGGAACGCATGATAACGGAAACCTTTTCTTAAAGAAATACTTTGAAATATTTTTTATTAAAGGTAAAAAGGTAGTGGTACTAGATAAACGGTTCTTAATTTTTCTTCGTAGCATCAAAACAAGCTGTCACATTTTTTTTTTTGTCGAAAGTTCAACAACCAAGCGATTCCACCAAATACTTCACGAAGAATATACATTATACTCCGCTCATTTGCAGTAGATGGCATACATATAACGCTAAGTGCTCCTCGAGCGGGGAGGAAATTTCGCTTCCGACAGAACGGATGCGCATAGCACTGTCGACGCTATCACACTTTGACTCTGCGCCAAAGGAGAGGGCTGCTGCCGACGCACCGAAGCGGATTCGCCAAGACAGCAGAGACGGTTGTCTCCGCTGTGTTGACGGGTTTCCGCGGCGATAGATGGCGGAAGCCACCCCTCCCAATTCAAAGGGGAGAACCCCGAGGTTACGCGAGTCCACCAGCCGTTCCAACTACGCAAAAATTGTCCGCGCCAAGGTCAGTGAATTTTCGCGGAGTGAAATGTATTCCCCAGTAAAGTATTTGGGCCCACCGTTGCGGTCTCCCTGTCCTCGTCTGACAGCTTCAATGAGATTCCACGAAGAAAAGTCACTTTCTTTTTAGATTATGGTGCTGTTGCGTCCTATGTCAAAGCCACAGCGTCAAAAACGGATAGGAAAATTAAGCAGTACTGATCAACCCCGGTATTCTTCGCTGGGTGTTCGTTATGTCTTTGAGGATTTAACGAGTTCCGAGACTGAGCGTACGGAATATACTTCCACCTGCTATTCCCTTGTCCGACGCCCGACCCTCGTGGAAACACAGTGCTGACGAAAGATCAGCTGGCACCGACATGTTTTTGCCGAATCTGGTTTCGCAGGTGGACCTGAAGAAAGTGCGGGTGCACGTGGTGGCCGAGGCTGGTCAGTGCTTCATGATGTCAGCCGTTCATCCCGATGTCCGCAAGGCCGTCAAAGATGTGAGCGGCTGGTTTCTACATAATTTCATCGCCAAGACTCTACACTCTAAGAAAAAAGGGAGGAGAAAGGTAGCAAAAGCGACTGTTCCTCCTTGTTGCGGACAAGTTGCCCAGAGAAGGGAGGAACGGCAGTTCAGATGAAAGGAGGAGGGCGAGTTCCTCCTTGTTCAGTTGGCGCAGGGGTAGAACATCGCGCTACTGACCAAGTGGTCAACGGTTCGATCCCCAGGAAAGTGGGATTATTTTTTTTCTTTTTTTGTAAAGTTTTTTTTTATATTTTTGTTTACCAAAACACACGTAAACAAACTCAGACCGATGAAAGGAAAATTAAAGTCCTTATTATTCTCCGAGACGTTTTCCTCCTCCAGGCAGACCGGAGAAAGCTTTCGCCCTCCCGACCCATCTTCTTTCGGTTTCGTTTTTCGAGCACATCGCGCACGTTGTTTAATAAATTAATGTCGAGTTGATTGAGCTTCAGCGGCAGCGAAGGCCGCCTGTAATTACGTCTTCTAGTCCAAACGTGCAGAACATTTCGGTTGCATTGACGTTTTTACCACTAATTTTATCAAACGAGCTAACGAAGCCGCTAGAAACAGCGAACTTCCGGAGCAGTGCCAGCAGCGCTACATACACTGGGTAAGACGGCCGTCTCCAATTTGCGGGACGCACGCGGAACTACAGCAGCGAAACCACGAGGAACTGTGTCTACGTTTTCGACGTTATGGAAATCGCGGGAACTGCGTCCAAGGAAGGCAGGTTTTCCTGCCGGCTGCCTGGGTGCCTTCCGTGCTGAGTTCGGTTTCGTTGTCCCGTGCCGAGTGCCAGCCGGCGTTCAACGTGATTCTTCTGCGTGTCAGCAACGTCGTCAACGTGGTTCTGTATTTCTTCGTGTCAGCGACATCGTGATGGCAGTGTTGTGGGTTGTGAACAGAAGACTGGAATTATCGCCGATGTGACCGTGTGTTCGCGTATCAGTGGTGTAACAACAAGTTGAGATGACGTAAACTGTCGGGCATTGATGCCGCTAGTCGGGCCGTTATCGGAGGGGCCGGGGTGTCGCAGGATGACATTCCGCTTTACATTAAAGAGTTTAAAACCACTTGAGGGATTAGGTGCAGTCGATCGACGTGTGGATAGTCATGTTGGAACGCTGGTCTGAACGGTAAGCTCCTATCGTACAGTGGCCAATGTGACTGTCGGTCCCCGGTCGGTCCCCGAGAGCGATTGCGCTGTGGGGAAAAGACAACACTACGAAAGTATGACGGAAAGTACGTATATTGATAATGGAAGTTTAGCATAAAAAAAAAGACAGGCAAAATCGAAAAAAAACAACAAAAAAAAACGCTATCCTTTATTTGACTGTTTAAATATATTACGGTTCCTGTAGAAACTGCCCTCTAAGTGGCGCGCTGGGATGAGCGCTAGAAGTTTTCGAGCTCGCAACGGCGCAGCTCCGTACACTTAACAGTTGTCGGAAGTCGCGGCTTTGACTGCATTCAAGTTGATCGAAAAGCGATTTCTGTGCCCGTGAAGCATCACTTCCAGCTGAGTGGATATCCGCTCTACAGAGATTAATTCAATACGGCAATTGCAGCTTTGCGCGAACAGCACAAATAGAAAAACGAACACTACAATATAAATACTGGCTACGAAGGGCCATGCGGGAAAACAAACTCATGGCTTGGAACCACATTGGAGCGGCTCGATTTATTGGCTTTCAAATAATTATGGTATGATCGAGCGTCTTCTTTTTAATAAGAGATTCATCCCCTGAACCATTAAAAATAGCCTCAGATGTATGACATTGCTGGAAAAAAATGAACATGTTCGGAATATTTTTTTTTGCTTAGGGAGTCACCGAAAAATTCCGTACATTCAAAACGACCACTATAAAAGACGGAAACGCAGGGCTCGGTAGTAGTGATCGGGGTAGTGTGCTGTTGTATTGATGTTTGTATGTGCGATGCCTGTGTATGCGTTCAATATATGGTGACCTGATGTTTGTAGTGTGCGCAACGTGTCTACATGTGTTAGAGATTCCGAAGAAAAGGAAACGCAATTGTGGCGTAAAAAAATAAAAATATTTTTTTGTAAAACATGAATTGGGCGGTACCTAGCGCCACCTAGCCTAGCTACGTGCGAATACTCTGCTTGACCCTGCCATCTGGTGGCAAGCGATTTAACATCCTTTTACGCTACGCGGCTACGCCATAATTTCGTGTTACCGTGCTGAGATAAGCCAAGAGGTTGCTTCGGATTTGCTTTTTTTTGAGAGCTGCTTTTGGTTTTGCGGGCGAATGATTTTCACTCCTCCGTGATGTGCGGTTGACGCTACGGTTGACGAAGGAATTGTGGCTCGAGGAATAGCAAAGGTAGGACATAAAGTGCGCGAACTGAGTGCCGGTTGTCTCCGTTGAACATCGCAGTGCTGACGATGAGAAGACTGAGTGACTGCATGCTTTCGAAACGTAAGTTTCTTTACCTGCATTGGTAAAGAAACTTCGGAAATAAATACAGTTCGCGGAAAGCTCGTGTTACGTTTTTTATTTCCTGCTCCTCTCGCTTCGTGCAATAGACTTAGTGTTCTCGTTAAGCCTTACCGAGCTCGATTTGCTCGATTCGTGGCCGCCATAATGAGATGCAGTCGACGGAGGAACTTTTCCTCCCCTGCTTAAGGGACGAAAGTTTCTCCCTTTCTGAAGGAACATATGTGTCAAGAGCGTTCCTCCCTTTAGGGAGGACTATACTGACCCTTTTTTCTAAGAGTGTATAGTCACCTCCAGGTTAAGAAACGCTGGGCGCGCTAAGTATAACCAGGCTTCGTAATTGGTTCTTCGGCGTTGTTGTCGGCAAATGCCGCCATATCATTGGTTGGGAAGCGATAATGAGATGCTCGGTACACGCCCCGCGTTTCTTACGCTATAGAACCATAAATAATGAGCATTATATGGTCACCGATGAAAAACGGCTCGACAAATGTAGACTGAAAATGAAAGTTTTTGCCGGCGAACTTGTGCCAAAAAAACAAAAGGAAGAATGAGCGTCAGCGTCGAAATAGCAGCAGAAAACGTCGCGGCGTCAGCAGGAGTGACGGTGCATCGGCGCGAGAACTGGCTAACGTGCGATTGAATGAATTGGCAATACCGCGCTCGACTCATTATCTACTAAGCTCGGCTTCTCGAAGCTTCGGCCTAGAATGTTCGGGAATGAGCTAAGGCGAGACTGACTGCGAAAGGTCGTTCCGGTTTCCTTATATTTTACGCTCGGTGTACGGAGAAGGGTTTCTTCTCGGTCATGCACACGGCATTACTCCCTCTTTTAAAGGTGCATCTCTTCAATGCAACCTTAAAGGAGTTAACAAAAAGGTAATCCAGCAACCAGTGAACTGCGGGGGCGTCTGAACTATAAATTGACCTGAGTCCTATCGAGTGTAGACTGGCTTGGGTCGAACGCCGTGAACCACCTCGGGTCGTGGTCGGCGTCGTGATGATGTTTTCATTCCGTCGGGCACCACTTCGTAGTTGAGCTCCCCGAGGTGATGAAGTACCTTGTACGGTCCGAAATACCGTTTCGAAAGCTTCTCGTCAAGGCCCCGGCATCGTATCGGTGTCCACACCCACACTCTGTCTACCGGTTGAAAATGAACGTCATGTCGGCGGAGGCTGTTCCGGCTAGCGTCGACACGTTGTTGGCCTTGAATATGCTGGTGGGCTAGTTGGCGCGCCTCCTCTTCTCACTGACTGATCACCCGGGCGTCTACGGTCCCGTAGTCAACTGGCTCATAGGGTAGCATGGAATCTAGCATCGTCGTCATTTTTCTGCCGTGCGCCTGCTGAGATGGTGTCACTCCGGTGGTTTCTTGAACTGCCGTGTCACAAGCAAACGTTACGTACGGCAAAACTTTGTCCCACGTCTTGTACTCCACGTGGACGTACATGGAAATCAGGTCGGCGATGGTCTTGTTCTGCCATTTCATGAGCCCGTTGGTTTGCGGGAGGTACGCTTTGGTTCATCGGTGGCTGGTTTCGCTGTGCCGAAGAGCCTCCCGAATCAGCTGAGCTGTAAATGCTGCCCTTTGGTCCGTAATCGGTACTTTAGGGGCGTCGTGACGGAGAACGATTGACTGAATAAAGAACTTGGCGACTTTCAGAGCTGTTACGAATACGAGGGCTTTCCTCTCGGCGTATCGGGTGAGATAATCCGTCACGACGACTATCCAAGGGTTTCTCTACGTCGACTTGAGGAATGGCCCGAGTAGATCCATTCCGATCTGCTGGAACGGAGTGGTCGGCGGTGCGATCGTCTGCTACAGTCCTGCGGGATTCGTTTCTGGTTTCTTGCGTCATTGACATTCATGGCACGATCTTGTGCACTGGTGGACGGTCTTCGGGAGCTTGCGCCAGGAAGACTTTTCGCGGATTCTTACCAGTGTCCTGCTGTACCCAAGATGCCTCGCCGTTGGGTCCTTGTGGAAAGCTTCGAAGGTCTCCTGTCGGAGACCGTGAGGGATTGCCAGGAGCCGCGCCGAATTATTGTCCTCGAAGGTTTCTTTGTAAAGCAGGGCGAAGCTTGCCATGGATTGTGAGAAGACAGGGGGGGGGACTCCTTCCTTCTCCTTCCAGATGATCGATCAGTGCGCGCAGCTCAGGGTCGGCTCGTTGGAGCGCCGTGATATCGTCGACCTTGACTGTGCCGAGAAAACTGTCCTTGTCGTCGTCGTCATATCGCCGGCGGAAGCTGACTCGACGGGGTTACTTAAAGGAGCGATGCAACAATTTTTGTACTTTGCGCAAATACCGCTTAAAACGGATCCCTAACGTTAATGACCTATGAAACACGCGCTTGTTTTTCACCCCACGCAATAGAAGTCCCAGAAAAAAATTAAAGAAAAACAAGCAGCGTTCACCCCCTCAACTCGCAGCCAGAACAAGCGGCCACGCGATCTGGAGCCGATTATATACCGCCAATGTTGATTATAGCCGCGTGCTAGGGTTGGCAAA